ACTTCCAGCCAGGGAAGAACCACTGTGCTGTCTCACTTTCATTTTTCACTAGAGTAGCAAACAAATGACCCAGGGCCTCATGCACTGAACGCTGCTAGGGGGTCATGGGTTTTTGGTTTTGTTTTCTTTTTCTTACATCTGCTTTTTTTTCCTCCTTGTCTTTGTGTCATGCCTCTGCTTAGCTTTATTGACAAAACAATCTGTGCCTAATGTTTAAACAACATCTGTAAAATGTGTTATTAAATTACACCAGAAGAAAAGCAGAACAATTCTATGAAACCTACTGACCCTATTGATTTTTAGATCATAGAAGCTGAAAGGATAATTTGTGAATGTTTTAACATTTCCATCTAAACAGGTCCCTATATTTATAGAATTTTTGATTACTTATAAAATTATTTGCTGCATTTCTACTATAATCCAGAATTAAACTTGACCTTTAACTGTTGAATCTATTAGAGTAAAGATCAGATTTTCTAAAAATAAGCATCCATATTTACCTGCCTGTACCATAAGAATCTACCTTTTCCCTCGTGGGTAACACGTAGGAAGTGATGCCTGAATACTTAACAGTTTTAAGGGCAATAGATGAAGGAGCTGGAAGATCCTATGTGGATTCTAAATCTAAAATCTATCAAGGACACTGGTTCTGATGTCTTATCAAATATCAAGGTGCTGCCTAGAATTGTATGCACCCAACTGATAGGAAAGGGTTTTCTCTGCATACATATATGCTATGTGTTTTGCACCTAAAAACTGTCGACTTCTCAGAGCACAAAGGCATGATCGTTTAACATCAAGCCTTTCTAGGAAAGTGTGTGCATGAAAAGTAGGAAGATGAGAAACTGGAACTCAATGCACTGCCAAGACAGTGAGTGTCTGAGATTTCCAGCTAGGGCTATTCATCATAGGACATCAGCTTTTGTCACAGGGAATTGCCTGGTATGCAGCACTGGCCTAAATATGTGTGTGTGTGTGTGTGTGTGTGTGTGTGTGTGTGTGAGAGAGAGAGAGAGAGAGAGAGAGAGAGAGAGAGAGAGAGAGAGAGAGGTTTTATTTGACCACTCTAAACTCACACTTTCAATGTATAAAATTTGGTCTACTAGAGAGAAAATAAAGAACCAAATGTTGATTTTGTTTGCACATATATGTGCATTTTCATTTATGTGTTTTGTTCATGTATCTTTATGTTTTGTTTAAATGTCTGCCTAGCGGGAGAAGGAGTCTGGGTATAGATAAAAACACACTGTGTATACTTACGAAATTCTGAAACAATAAATGAAAACACATCTGACAAAAGGAAGTTGAACTCTGACATAAATTTTAAAGCTGCACCTACATTTTTAAATATTTAAACACTTGAAAAGCTATCAACTGCCAAAACTTATAATATTTTTTCTTTCAAATGAGAAATTGCTCAACACGTTGGTGTTGTTCTCAGAAGTATTTGTCACCGCAATGAAAAAAAAAAAAAAACAGACAGAAAGTTCTGAAATGTTGGTTCTGTTGGGGAATAAATGAGCCACGAGGAAGGAGGTGAATTATATGCCATCAGGTGTACCTCAGAACTGAGCACACTTTGAGTCTAACTTCTCACAACAGTGAAGGAGCTAGGTAACACCTCATGGAAGGTGACTTGTAAAAGCCAGCAACATCTTCTATGAGTCAAATAACAGATTTAAAATAGTTTACATTGGTTACCAACAAAATATATTAGGATAGATCAGCTCTACAGCCTCTCATGTGATAATTATCCCACTCCATCTCAGGTTCAATGTCAGCCATTTTAAGATCCCTCCTCCCTATTTTTATTCTGACCGGTAAAATAAATATGAGTATTTGCAATTACGTTTTTTTTTATGTCTGTTTTCTCTGCATCAAATCTGTCTAATTGCTTTACAGTGCAGTTCTTCCCTTTCCATATTTCCCTATCTACTTTAGTCTTCATCACTTGACATGCACAGTATATCCTTAGGTCAACAAAAGATATAAAATGGCTTTAGTGGTGGTATGAAGGAACAGTGCCCCAAATGCCTCACTAAAGCTGGAGCAGCTAAGGTTCCTATGACAAGCTTGCAACTAGACATGACTTTATAGTTTTCACTTAACATAGTGTACATTTCAATACATTATGTTGCTGCCAATAATTATGACTGATGTACACCCAACCTGCCCTTCAGCATTTTATGAAACATCTTCAACAGTGACTCATAGCATATACAAAAATTTACATGTGTGTTAACAAGTTTTAAGAAATCCAAGGACAGGATTTCTTTTTTAAGTCGTAACATAAATGAGGTGAAGAGGAAGTCTTAGGACATTAGTGATCATTTTTAAAATCATTATTTCTAGAAGAAAATAGCCTCACGGGGCTGCTGCTCTACGCAATAGAGTATTTATGTGCAGGCTTTCAAAAAAGCTTCATGTGTTTTTATTATAGTAAAGCAAAATGAAAGCTCTACTTTCTCTGCCTAATGGTCTTCAAACATTGTTTAAGATTCTGTGACATCTTCAGTTTTTCAGATACTTTATTTGCATGCTACTTCCTACCTATAGAGTTAAGAAGTACATCTCTATTCCCAGCTTATTGTTTGTTTGGTGGGTTTATTTTTTTGGGGGGGATGCTTTTGTTTGTTTTTTTCTGGACAGGATTTCTCTGTATAGACCAGGCTCGCTTTGAACTCAGAGATCCACCTGCCTCTGTCTCCCAAGTGCTGGCATTAAAAGCATGAGCCACCACACCTGGCTAGAAGGTTTGCAAAACATTTAAACTTGAATCAAACACAAATATGACGTTATTCATCACATTCAACGAAACAAGCCATCTCAGATATTTTAGGTTGCTTTAGAGGCATTCTCTCCAGGAAAGCTGTTAACAGGCGCCAGAGGAATTGACAAATGCAAAGCAAAGGGGTGCAGGGAAGACCCGAGTCTAACCCCAGGAGGAACAGGAAGAAAATGAAAAGCCACACACCCCATCCTATATGAAAAAGTAAAGGTGATTTTGAAGTTAGCTATCTGTCAAATGGAGTCTCCGCCTGAAATCTGCACAAGCTTTGAAAATTGTTTCAGAGCTTTCCAATTCCTAGTCTTTTTGCTCCACTCTAATAAAAAAAAAAAGTGAAGAAGTAAAAATGTAGTCAATGACTGATGAAGATCTGTGGGCCTCTGGTAGAGCCTGGGCAGATATTCTGGAGAAATGGCGGTATATGTACATTGCCTGGCACCACAGGAAGGCCCCTTTGCCCCTACATTCGCAGGACATGTCGCATCACACTGTATACATACTGCAGTGTGTTGCGTTTATTCTGGTAACTATGTTTACGAATAGAGTTTGCTAGCAACATTGAGGAAGAAGGGAGATGGCATGTGTGATAGCCAGGCAGCTCCACAGTGTTCCTTCATTTGAGCCAGCTGCCACTCCTTTACCTTCACTGAAGAACATTCCCCAAGGAGATGCCACATTGCAGCACCAGCCATCGCATTCTCACTACCTCACCATCATGCTAAGCCGAAAAACATGACTGTAGGTTCACATGTAAAACTATGTCTTTCCAATGGAACCATTCAGAACCTCTGAAAGGCCAACTTCAAATATGCAGTATTAACTCTTGAAGATTTCAAAACAGGAGCAGAAAAAATAGGCAAACAGCAAAACCTCAAAGGCAACAGAACTCAACACATTTGGATACAGTATGACTCCATTGGCTTCACTGTCCTGGAAGGAGGCTGCAAAATTTGATCTCTGAAGGCTGTGGTAAGGTCATAGAAATTGATAACCCTTACAAGAGAAGCTCGTGTGAATCTGTCTGTGTCTTGTAGATAGAGAACTTGTAAATTAATCCTCCAAAGGCAAATATATCATAAGTAGCTTGTTATCTCTAAAATACTAAGTTGAAGAATACATGGGATTATATTGACAGAAATTACATTTTCTGTAATGGGGTTTAATATATCTGAAATATCTCCCAAAGGCTCAAGGCTCTCTAACAGTGAAGGGTCTGTTAAAGAACAAATTTATTCACCAAAATGGATTAGGCTATGTAATCAGAGATTCTGTAATATTAATCTTTGACACCTATTGAACAGAAAGAAATTCTTGTGTCTACAAACTGTCATCCTTAGTTTTCTCTTTTCTCCAACCAGGTTTTGAGGCTTTTCTGGATTGTACTTCAAAGAATATAAGACTTCTCCATCAGAAACACTGATCTGAAAATATTAGGACGATTAATTACATATCCTTAGTTTTAGAGGAGATTGTATTTCAATACCCTTCAAAAATGACAGTAGGCTTGGGTGATTAACATTAACATGGCTTTAACACAGTCAAAAAGGGCAATGAATCACACTTTCTCAAATCCTCAGGGCCATGTTGTTGGACATTTAGTCAGAATATTGCTGCTTAGAACTTGGTTGATAACCTCAGCTTTACCCCAGAGCAGGAATTTACTTAAAAATAGTATTGACTAGCCTTCGGTAAAATCAGGTTTTGAAGAACTTCAGAGAAAGAAACATAAATTTTTTTTTTCCTTTCAATATTTGAATGATAAGAGAATACTATATTGGATGCCATCTTTGGATGGGTAACACTAACAAAGTGTAACTGAATTTGTTTTTCAGTGAATTTAAAACTCTTGGTGATAATGGTAGATTTTCTTCTTTCATAGAAAATAGTATGATACCAACTTGACCAACCATCCAGAAGAGAAAAAGCCAAAAAAAATGTGATATGATTTCAGAATGAGAAGGAGTGTTCACCACATACACACTCATCCTGTGCATAAAACTTGTCGAATCGTAAAAAAGCTGGAAGGCCACATGTTTTATTTTCCATGGTAGAAACCATTCCTCCACATCAGGCCTGTTCGTCTCCACCTTTGGATCAGCAAGCCCCTTGGGAAAGCAGCAGCAACTGGGTGTGGCTTCTTCATGTAACACATTAACTGCAGGTTGCCAGAGGGGGAAACAGATTGTGTGTAAACCCAGGCCAGATTACTCACCAGTTGTTCACTTGAAGGATGGTGAGCCCCGTGTCTTGTGCCAACTGCTTTTTCTGTTCTTCAGAAGGATAAGGGTGCTGAAAGAGATCCAAAAAAAGGTGTGTGTACAGCGGGCAGTGTTTATACCATTTGGTCAATAACCTAAGTGTCTAGAGAAGTCTATAATTAAAGGTAAAAATGCTGAGGTGTGTCACTCTTATTAATGGAATACTACATCATCTAATTAATGGCAGTAAAAGACAAGCCAATTACAAAGCTTAGTGAAGTGTATATAAATGTCTATTTAGGATACTTGCAGAACCTTGATACTGAGTTTACCCTTTAACAAGTTTATTTGTTGCACACTAGAAATTTTAGTGTGATCTTCACTGTATTTTATCAGATTGAAGGGTGTGTGTGTGTGTGTGTGTGTCCCTCTGATTTAATATATTCTGAGCTGAGGTCACCAGTATTTAAGTGTGATACTCTCTCTCCATAACACCATAGTCCTGGATTTAAATGTTAAAACTAAGGTATACTCTATTTATGCCACTCTTGTTTCAAGTCTTGAGCAAAGCAACAGTAACCAAACCTCAACAAAAACTGGTGTCATATTCGTTTGTCAGTTAGACAAGCTTTGGAATCCTTTATGAGACATGCCTCTGCATGGGTGTCGAGACATTTCCAGAGAGAGTTAGCTGAAGGAAAAACCTACCCTGAATGTGGACAGCTCTGTGCTGTGGGCTAGAGTCCTACACGGAATTAAAGAGGGAAGAGAGAAAATTGCTGAGTGTCAGCATTTGGACACCTCTGCTAGTTTTCCCTGGAGATATAAGAAAGTGTGACATAAAGGCCCCAGGCTCCCACAGCTGTGCCTTCCCCCTGCACCTTCCTCTCCATGATGGACTGTTTCCCTTCAAAGCCTGAGCCAAAACGAATCCTTGCCCCCAAGTTGCTTTGTCATAATTTGTTATTTTTCATTTCCTTTTTATTTTCTTTCTTCTTTTTTTCTAACAGTGATGAGAAAAGCAACTAATACAGTTTGTTTCCACATATAAAGGTCAATATATGCTAGGGTACTGAGTAAAGGCCAATAAAAAGGCAAAGGTCAACATATTTCACATATTAAGAGCAAGCCCAGCACTGTCCCTCCTGAGGAAGAGAATACAAAAAAGTATTGATTGCATAATTAAATAATGAAATGAATCTGGAATTCTATTGAAGTTTGTTTGTGGAAACATTTTCTTCTCAGTAATCAAGCGCACCTAAGGTGCAACACATATTTCTAAAGAACAGCGGGGGGGGGGGTGTACCTATGGAGACATAGCTGCCTTGAAGGGTTGAGTCCTTATAAATTCTTGCAGGATAAAGTTGTCCTGACAATCAGTCTTTAATTTTTAGTCCCACTGTGAATAAGAAAGGGCATCCTCCACACTCAATTAAATGATGTGTGCCATGGAAACTAAAATCTGGTTTGTTGGGTGACAATTAACATAGCTTTTAATCTCATTAATAGTGTCTAGTCAGATACTTAAAAATTGTTAAAGATCACACCAGTGAATTTACATGTACTTTTAACTATGTCCTAGTCTATACACATCTGCTATGCTTGCAAAGAGTGGGGATACAGTAATTTTTTTTCCCATAAGCATTGTCTTTGATTGCCACTTAATCAATAAATACACAATTAGAATGAGACTTTGCTTTTGTGGAATATAGTGCCTTTCTCTACAGAGCTCCAGGTATATTTCAAACAGGGTGGTAACTAAAAACCATTAGATCCCTCTGAGTGACATAGCACTACCATCCCTGTTGTTTTGCAGTTGAGGAAGCCAGCCAGGGGAAGGGACAGCCAACAGCGATAGTTCTCCCTTCTTTTCCAAACTCTTAAGTCTTCGCAAAGCTCCACACTACTTCTACAACCTGCAGAGCCAGCCACCAGGCCCCACCTTTTCAGAGCTTCCCTCTCATCCAGCCACAATGTTCCCATTTCTGCTCTTCCAGAGCAACAAGGTTAAACCTGTTACACTTCTCAGCATCACTGCCAGAGTTCAGCTCAAGGTCAAGTATACAGAGATGCGCACACACACATGTGCACACACAGAGACACACATGCACACAGAGACACACACATACATAGATAGACACACACACACACACCACACCACACCGTGCACACACATCTTATCTCTGTCAAGCGTTTCTTCTTCATTTCCTGATAGCAAGTCTTTTTTTTTTCTTTGTGTTTTCTTGTTGGGGTGTCTTCTTACCTAAGTATCAATTTGAAATTCTTTGCTACATTTCTCATCATCCTTAAAGTTCAAATGAGTATGTAATGGAAAATTAGCAACTATAGTTTGAACAAACTATAACTGAGGTACTTTACACAGATACTATGTAATCAGATTCAACACCAAAATGGATAAGAAAGTGTCTTCCAGAGCCTGCAGAAAGTGTAAGCATCCAAATCAGTACTTCCTCAGCTTCAATCCTGAAAGTAGTGTTGACTCATGCATTCAAGCCATAATAAACTAGGCCCACACTCAACATAAAACCAGGCACTGGAAGAAGGGCAGAACTAAACACTACCCTATATCCGAGTTTAAAGCATAATTCCTATTGTATACAAGCATGCCACACAATTCTCCTCACATGAATCTCTTTTCTTACAGACAGAACACTGAATTATGATTTTATATATAGTAGTTCAATGCCTATACTAGTTGAAAAATTATATAATACAAATGACTCTATTACAGCTTATAAATGATGCTGCAGTTACTAATTATAAGACTTTGAACATGAACAACTTTTATAACCTTCAATTTTGTCACTTTGAGTCCTAGGATCTGTTGAAGTTAAAGGCTTCTCAATTAGTAGCTCAAAACAGTAGTGGACAATAAGAATTACAATTTAGATTTTGAAATGTGCAATTTTCATTTAAAAAAATTATCGGCAAGGAGAAAAATAGAAGGCTCTGTGACAACCCTTACCCTCCCCAACCCTACCCTCGAAGTAACAGACTAAAAAGGAAGCCATCAAAAAAACCTCTTAAAGGTGTGATAAGGATACTGAAGTGTGGCTCTCCACAATTGCTGACTTCTGGCAGGGGTGCGTGTGAGAAAGGACCCAGTTTTTTTAGGGATGCTCCAGTAAGTAGATGGACAACACAAGTTGAACTTTTTCCCTCTTTGTTTTTTTTTTTTTTTTTTTGTGGGGGGGGGGGGGGGGAACATAAGGATCGGGGGCAGATATGAAAGGATTGGGACGTGAGTGTGATCAGGGTGCATGATGTAAAATTCCCAAATAAAAATACTATGTAGGAAAGAAAAAAACAATTCTTGACTTTGTGTGTGTGTGTGTGTGTGTGTGTGTGTGTGTGTGTGTGTGTGTGTGTGTAGATGCATGTCTCAATACACATGTAGAAGTAAGAGAACAAGATACAGAATTAGTTTGTCTCTTCTACAAGGTGGGGCCCAGAGACTGAACTCCTTTTAGCAGGAGTCTTTACCATCTAATTGGCCCCAAGCCCTAAATTCTCAACACCACCTAGTTGTCAATGCTACTTGAATATAAAGTTATAAACATGCACATTCTGGTTTATAACATTTTCTGCGATCCTAGTTACTTACAGTTTTTCAGGTCCTAGGAAAGTTTCTGTCAATTATTTTTTCAATAGAATTAATAAATGTGTCTATCCTCGCTCTTCAGTAGAACTCAGTTACAACATTTTTGCCCATGTCTTGTTGTCTATCTTAATGCTACGACCCGAGGTGGATGGGAAAATTAGTATTTGTGCTGTTCATCTTTAGCTACTTTGAAAATTGAGAGTTGTCACAGCAATTTCCTTGTCCTGTGTTTTTTCAAGAGTACTTTTGCATGCTTGTTTGTGAGCAAGCTTTACATACATTCTCATAAGACAAATGGAATTCACATTTTACTTATGCAAATGGTGTCAGAAAAATTCTCCTTGGATCATTAAAATTACCTGAGTCATTACAGTTTCAAAGAGCTGTGGTACAGCCCTCAGAATTCCACTGCAAATTTCAGCTGTTTCTCCACATCATGTAGTTTCTGATTTCACAATTTAAATATCACAAAACGAGAAAGGTCTAGGGTTTTTTTCTTCTCCTCTGTCACTTTTCATGTGATCTGATTTTAAGTAATTGGAACAAACTGTGTCTAATTTTATGCAGCATAATTGCTAGGCAGCCCCAAGCTATAGAGACTCAGCACTCTGTCTCCATTAAGCAATTTTCAGCTCTTTGGGATATATATTTTTATGTAGATATGAATGAGGCTAGATAAAATTAAATGTCATAATAATTTGGACATTATTAATAATGGTTATGGTATGCCAAGCAATAGGATATATATATATGTATATATATACATATATATGTATATGTATACACACACACACACACACACACACTAAATTGAATATTCTAAGGAATGGCACCCAGGACCTTGTACCCACTAGGATATCAGCAAATTGGTAAAAGAGCCATATGTTTTTTCCTTTATTTTCATGGCCTTGCTGTCCCACAAACTCTCAATTATTTTTTTTAAATACTATAATTGCCAAAAAAAAAAACACACATAAAAACTGTGACCCCATGTAGTGAAAACCCACTCAGCCCAAAATTCACAGAAAAGTAGGCTTCTAAATATAAGTGCCAGTAGTCTTAATATCCTATGACCCTCGATTGCCTAGGCTGTTTGTTGATAGTATGAGTTATGTCTTTGTAGACATGAAAAAAAAATGGACTGTCCCCAAACCAAACCAAAATAAACAAAAACCAAAAATCCAAAACCAAAACCCCAAACCCCTCCGTGTGCCATAGGGAAGGCTTCTGTAAGAACCCTCCCTGCTGTGCTGTGTTCACCCATCGGGTGAATGAGGGCACTCAGCAGACAGCAGATGTCATTCTGCAATACATCAACAGGGATCCCTGAAAGGTGCCACTTTAGGGGGAAAGTGGGAAATTCCTTCCAAATCACTGAAACTACAGGCTTACATTTCTTTTAGACATCTCCCTGAGCACCTCTGCTTTATTGCACTTAAATGACAAGGACACTGGTTGAAGAAAGATCA